TTTTTGTATACTCTTTTATCTATTATTGCATAAGGATATATGTTGGGAACAGCAGATAGCATAATGGTTATGTCCTTAGACTCCCATGAACTCCACCATGGTTCAAGTCCCAGACCAAGCAGCTTTGGGCAAGAAGAAGGAAAACAGAGGAGAAGGGATTTTGGTGTGGCCATTACCACCCCACCCCACCCCACCCCCAGGGAGGTTGCACTGTGGAATAAAGAGGAAGGCAAAGGGACTAGGCTAACTCATACCACTCTCACCTGCTTTAGGGGGATTCCAGTTTCGATGTCAAGGGATTCCTGAACCCGGGGTGATTTCTCACTTTCCATCTCTCTGTATCTCTCTCTTTCTGGTGAGCACAGGTGCCCTATAGCAAAACACTCTCTCTCTCAAAATAAAAAAAGGATTTGTTTTCAGTTTTTAAATAATTTTATTTTTGTAAATTATAAAACAAATATATACTTAACGTAAAAAATCACCACAAGGAAGAGAGTGAAGACTGCTCAAGTGGACTACTTAGGTACCCACTTTAAGACATTCACTATTTAAATATTCACTTCTCCAGTCATCCCTAGAAGGTAGACCAGACAGGACAGCTAAAATAAGTGGCTACTAAGTTGATGAAGTTTATTCCCTTATCCTAGATACCTCTAAAACAAGTATAATTCTAACCTGTTAATCACTTACCCAAGAAAAAAATACTTCCAAAAATAATGTAACAAGTTGCATTAGATTGAATATATGTATTTATCTTTGCTCCCTCCAAAACCTGACTTAAATGATAAAAAAAGCAACAGAGAGTTTTCAATCTATAAAGAAAGAAGTGAGAGGAGACAATGGCCAATGATAGCAGAGACATTTCATGAAAGTATGGGAAGATGAAAAGCAGACAGATAAGTGTAACTGATTACCCAGAAGAGAGAGCTCAAACCCAAGTAACCACTAAGAGAGACATAAGAACCAACCTCAGAAATTCTCAGAAACTGAAGACGCTACTGAAGGTTATGGTTAAAATGGGGCTTTAAACTAGAAAGCTGGTTGAGACTCTAAACGAAGAGTACTTACACTCCTAAATTTCCTCTACTATTCTGAGCAGTCAGGCAAGTGCACCTCTCCCACTTCAGCACAGAAAGCAGAAGATTTGGGAGTAGTAGGGACTAAAAATGAAGGGAGCAAGTAAAAATCTACATACTGAACTGTGAAACTCATTCATCTGCCCTGTTGGAATCCTAGAATATCGGTGATGGGATTTACAGCTTTCAGAGATTAAGGGAAGCCTCTGTGGAAATTGTTGGGAAAGCCCTTAGGAAAAGAACTATAGTAACTGACATTTGGAGAGTGAGTCCCCAACAAAAGAGCCAACTGGCCATCAGGCTATAATTAAGCCTAACATACAAAACTGCTAATCAGCCCTACAGGGCCTCATTCTCAAACATAAAAGGATACATTTTAGGAACTTGTAACATGAAAGAAGGCCAAAAAAAAAACAAAAAACAAAAAACAAAAAACAAAGAAAAAAACTAACAGAAAAACATTTTATCTAGATACAACCAAGACCAGATGAAAATATTTTAATTAATTATGAATTAATATTAGATACATAACATATGACATAAGATCATATCCAATCAAATGTGATAATAGAATAGAGTCATAAGATTCAGGAAACAAACAGAGGCAAAAAAAATAACAAGGGGGCAATAAAGCTTCACAGCTGCCATTGTGACACAGGTCTAGCAAGGAAAAGTACAGGCTGCATGAGTAAGATAGGGGACTCTCCAGAAAGAATGTCTTCAAGGGCAAAAAAAACAGAATTAAAAGGTAATGACCCAAGATTAAGAAGAATATTATGGTTTCATTGTTAAGTTTAATAAATAATTGATGATAAATATATAGGAAGCAAAGAAAAAAAAAAAGAAGAAGAGGGGCCAGACAATGGTCAGCAGTAAAATGTGGTACTCTGCAAAGCTGATCCACATAAGAAGATTACCAGTTCACATCCGCCTACCTCCCTGAGTACAGATGGGGTTGGCAGACTGGGAAAAGACTGAAATTGAGTCTCTATTGGGGGGTCCTCTCTGTTGCTCACTTGCTCTCTCGCTCTCTCTCTCTCTCTCTCCTCTCTCTGTCTCTTTCACTTATAGAATAAATTATAAAAAAATTTTAAAGTAGATAATGATTGGCTCTATATAAAAACAAAAATTTGTACAAGAAAGTAAGTATAATCATAGTACATCATATAGCTTAGCAGCAGGCAATAGTCAAAGTCTTAAAAAGTAAGTTCTAAAATGTGACACAATCAAAATTGTATAAGGATGAAAAAAGAGAAGTATATGTATGAGGGTTGGAGGGAAGGTTGTTAGAAAGTTGATGAGTGGGTTATATACCCTTATCTTCCATGGTAAGACGTTAATAGTAATGTCTGAAATTGAAAACTCTCTCTCTCTCTCCTCTCTCTGTCTCTTTCACTTATAGAATAAATTATAAAAAAATTTTAAAGTAGATAATGATTGGCTCTATATAAAAACAAAAATTTGTACAAGAAAGTAAGTATAATCATAGTACATCATATAGCTTAGCAGCAGGCAATAGTCAAAGTCTTAAAAAGTAAGTTCTAAAATGTGACACAATCAAAATTGTATAAGGATGAAAAAAGAGAAGTATATGTATGAGGGTTGGAGGGAAGGTTGTTAGAAAGTTGATGAGTGGGTTATATACCCTTATCTTCCATGGTAAGACGTTAATAGTAATGTCTGAAATTGAAAAAGTAAAAAAAAAACAGCATAAAATTTTCATTTAAATGAAAGTAAATATAAAAATAAATGCATTAAAAAATTTAAAGTCAATTCATGTGAGGACTTGAAGTCTACAGTACCATTTAACTTTAATATCTATATTAACTTACAAAAAATATTTTTAAAAATTAATTATCTCAGAAAAAATGGCCAGCCAATCAATACATTATGTTTAAGTTCAGAAGACATTGGTGATATTATCTATAACCCACTTTCAAAATTCTCTTCTCCTGTGACATTGGTGATACTGTCTATAACCCACTTTCAAAATTCTCTTCTCCTCCAATTTTCTATATAAGAAGATATCTATGTAAGGCAGAATACAGTTCAGAATTGAATCCTGAAAAAAAAAATTCACCTTGGGAAGAAGTTTTATAAAATAAGATAAAGTGACTAAGAGAGTAGGTGCCACCATCAGAGCTGAGTTCAGATCTCAGCTCAGCTACTTACTAATCTTACTGATTCGTTTCTTCATCTCTAAGTTGGGTTATTAATACTATCTATCACGTAAGGTTGTTGTAATGATCAGATGACAAAATGTCTAACACATGTTAAACGTTCAATAAATAACAACTATTTTTATTATATTATGCTGTGGCATATTAAACAACATGACATTGAATCACCGTGATTGCTGGCATATAAAATCAGTTCCTTTCCCCCAAATCAATCTAAAACTTACTATCCAATACACCCATATTATAAATGTGAATCTATCAGATATAACAAAAAAATCTCCTACCTCCAATATTATATGAAAACAAATCCCAGATGAACCAAAGATTGACATATTAAAAATTAAAACATAACTACTAGAAAAAGAAATCATCATATCTATATCAATTTTCTTATTCATTGTTGGTAATGGTTTCCTTTATTGCTAAATAAGAAGTTTAAAGAAATTAGCTGGGGTCAGCAGGTGATGTGGTGGTTAAGGCGCTCGATTGCCACATGGTGGTTCAAGTCATGGACCTGGAGGCTTGCTTTCTCACTTTCCTGCTCTCTTACTCTGTCTTTCTCTGGTGAGCACACATGCCCTGTAGTAAATTAAATAATAATAATAATAAATAAAAGTAAATAATTCTTTAAAAAGCTATCTATTATCATTTCTAGTCCTTAAAAATCTGTTCTTCCAGATATAGACAAATGGTAACCCTCTTCTCTAATCCAATTTAGTTTGGACATGTTATCTGACTTTGGCAAAAATTTTAGAATCACAGATAGGCAGAAATATGGTGGGGGGGGGGGCATGTAATTTTATCTTACTCATCTAGATATTTTGTTTCTTCTCCCTACTACTAGGTTTGATACTTGGTCATTTCAATATAGTTGTCCCCACTCATCCAGTTTTGTTTTCTACAGTTCTAGTTACCAACTGTTGATCATGAGTGAATATTCATAAATATTCAGTGGAAAATCCAGACATAAATGATTCATAAGTTTTAAACTATGTACTGTTTTGAGTAGCAGGATGACATTTCATGCCATCCCACTTGGTCCTTTCTTCTTGAGAAAAGTAGAAGATATTTCGAAAGAAAGAAAGACCAAATTCACCTACTTTTATTATGGTATGTTGCTATAAATTTTCTATTTTATTACTAGCTAATGTTGTTGATCTCTTACTGTGTCTAATTAATATTGGGTCACTGGAAAATTCATGATCGATTTTTGCATAGAGAATCACAGAAAATGTGTCATGACTTTTACAAAGACCCAATCAGTTAAACTTAAAGGTATGTATGTATAAGAAAAAACAGTGTACATATGAATCTATACTGTCTGTAGTTTAAAACAAACACTGAGCATATTGGAAAGTATCTGCCATGAATAAGGGGGAGGGGGTACTACTATTTTTCATTGTTCTTATCTTCAATTCTGTAAAGCTTCTTTACCTTTTTTTTAGATTTTTGCTAAAGGGTACATTTCCTTACTGGAAAAAGACAGAAAAAGAGAAAATGAGAAATCACCTCCCACAGGGAATGGCCACACCGCAATTCCTTCTCCATTTTCCTCTCATGATTTTGGGCATGTATGCACACATACATACCATACTCAATTTTCAAGTCACCAGCACAGAATTCGAACTGTGGTCAGCTATGTGGGAATCCAGTGCCTTAACCACTACACCACCTGCTCACCTAACTCTGTGAAGTTTAAAGAGTGATTAATATCACACATTTGTAAATTATGAAAAGTCATTACCTTGGATTTGGTATGTCTCCAAGAATCTCATCTAATTTATCAATGAAATTAATAAAATTAGATAATCCCTTTACATGTGCCCTTAGTGGATCAGATGGTGATGGTGCATATCCTTTCCCTCCAAGCTGTATTGTTCTAATAAAGGACGTGGCCACCTATGAATTAAAACAAATGATTTAGTAATGTTGGCTTATTTAATAAGTTAAAACTAGTGTCTACTGCGTTGTCAGAAAATTTATAATGCATTTTTCTTTTTTTTTCTATACAAAAATGCATCATGACTTTTCCAACAACCAAATACTTTATGAAGTTAGGTATCTACCTAAGTATGATTCTAGGTATATAGTTAAATATATATCTGTACAATTCTGAGTAAACAGTAAGATGAAGCACATTTTATAGGTCTTGTCATACCTTAATTCAACAAAGAAACAAGTGCCATGCAGAATTCATGTTAGTAAGGATGATGGCAATAATATCCAACTGTAAACAAAGACTGAGGAGCTGAAGACAATTAAAAACTAAAGAATATATTCTTAAGAATGTATCATTGCATATGAAGAATTAGTTCATTTTGGGGCCAGATGTTGGCACAGCAATAAAACATAATGCTCTATACGGCTGACTCACACGGGAACAGGTCTAGGTTTCCAACTGGAGACTGCCCTGAGAATGCTGGACGTACATGCACTCATGATCAGGGACTGGCTGAGGCTGGGAGTTAACAACAGTGACAAGAGCTATTGAGTGTACTATCTCTGTCTTAGCTTTACTTATGAAAAAATTTGTAAAAAAATCCTACAAACAGGGACCAGCAGTTAGCGTAATGGCTATGTCGCTGGACTCCCATGTAGTTGACGGTGGTTCGCATCCCGGACCCGGTGGCTTAAAACTTATGCCGGGCACGTGTGCGTCTGTGCCCAAGATCCTGAGAGGAGAATGGAGGAGAAGGGATTGCAGCGTGACCATCCCCCCTGGGGGGTGATTTCTCACTTTCTGTCCCTCTGTCTCTCTGTCTCTCTCTGTCTGTCTGGTGAACGCACGCGCCCGAAAACCTCTAAAAAAAAAAAAAAAAAAAAAACCCAAAAAATCCTACAAACAAAAAAATTATGAATATATTCTTACATAAACTGAATACTGGCCATTGGAATGTTACATGAAGCAAAGGAATTTTCAGTGTCAACTGATCTGTTGTGTTAAACAGCTGAGGAGGTTGGGAAATTCAATACTTCAAAACCTTAGCTTCTTTATTTATAAAATAAAGATTTACACTAGATAATCACCAAGTTCTATCTTGCTTTTACATCCTAGGATCACCTGATCATGTGAAGTTCAAAAGGCCTTGTTTTTACAGTGACAAAAATACAAACATATACCCAGCCATGGTGGTATAATTGGTAGAATGCCAGTAGGCAGAAATGGAGCCATATGGGAAGGCCCAGGCTTTGGATCCCAGGTTGACCTGAGCACGCCCACATTTGTGCCCATGATCCTGGTTAGGTAGATGGCTGGAAGAAATGAGGGTTAGCAAGAGCCTATAAGCAGTCCCTGTCTACATGTGTGTCTGTCTCTCTCTTCCTCTCATAAAAAAAAAATTAAAAATTGTGTGTATGTGTGTGTGTGTGTGTGTGTGTGTGTGTGTACATGTATGATGGCTATACATAAGGATGTCTCCATTCAAAGATGAAATGTTCTAAAACAGTATTTTCTAAAGAATACCCTAAAAAAGATGAATTCTAGGAAATGTCAATAATGTAAGTGAAAGTCCTATGGTCACATAATTTAGAAAACAACAAATTAAATAACATGATTAACTTGTTATAATTTATACAGATTTCTTTATGGCAGACTTCTAAGAGCTCTTGACATACAAATATACATTATGTCTAATCAACAGGGGTATATAAACTTCTAAACTTGTTTCCCCGGAAACACTTATCCAAAGAGCATTTAATGGGGGCTTTTTGCTTCTGAAAAAATGTATAAGGAAAATTTCTCAAGGCTAGCACCCCTCAGAATATATGTAGGTTAGGGAAATACCACTTTAGAGAAAGTCTTTCTTCCCAATCTTGAACAATATAGTAAAAAATAAAAATACTATGGATTTTCAAGTACATGAGTAAAACAAAAATTAATGACTTGAAAGTTAATTTATCATAATTACCAGAACTCTACAGATCTACTGCTCAAGGAGGCTTAATAGTCTTGAAAATATAACATGTCCATACCAAAAAGAGAGATAGCTGCTTCTCTCGAGCAGCATGTTTCAAATCGGTGAAGGCTTCTTTTCCAAGGCCTCTATCAGGAATATTGAGAATATGAGCCAGAGCCAGGTCATTCTTTGAATTCACTATTAGGCTTAAATATGAAAGAATAATTTTCTTCGCTAGTACTTGCACCTGCATAATAAAAAGAGTCAGTTATTTTCTTCATTGCAGTTGTTCTAAATCCACAAATAATCTCTTTTTATAAGAAGGAAAACTGCATAGGATTCATCATTCAATCGCAATACTTTCTTATTCTTTTTGTTCTTTAGGAAAAGAGAACCATATAAATTGAAATTTTAGGTTGGACAATAACCATAATCTTGCTTGTGAAATAAAATTCTGCCAAAGAAAAACCATAAGCATGTAACAACTATGATTAATTGGTGGAAAATGGCTCTTAGAAAATGATAGGAAAAAACACAGTCCAAATCTGCATCTCTGAAGAGGTCTCATTTCATTCCCCTGCACATTTCTGCCATTAAATAACAGCAAATAAAAAAGCTCCCTGGCGTGGGCCAGCTGTTTCTGTGCAGTACTGTATTTACACATCCTTTGCAAGGTCAGATACAAGGGTTAAAGATTTAATATCTGAGAAATACCAGATACTGACTTTGACAATACCAAATGACCAACTAAGGCTTTCAATCAAGAGATTAAATCAAATGCTAAGCAAATAACAACAGATAATTGATAATGAAATTAACTGGCCTCAAAGCAAGCTAAATACCATTCAAGCACAAAATAAATAGTATTTGAAAGAATTTTATAAGGGCATCTGATCTTTCCTATATATTGCACTTGTCCTTCACACACAAATGAAACCCATGGCATTATTATTATTATTATTATTATTATTATTATTATTTCAGCATATTCTATATAATCATATTTTTAAATTTTTAAGCATAAAAGAAAAATTGGCAATAAAAATTACAAAGCATTAGGAAGACACTTAGATATTTAAGGAAGTCTGCAGTTCATACACATCTTAAAAACGATTTTGAAGATAAAATGCTTTTGAATTATTTATATTTACATGTAAAACAGTTCTTGAAATGTGAGATGCAGTCAAGGGCAATTAAAAACTTTTTTTTTTTTTTTTGGAGAGATTTTTGCTATAGGGTACGGGCACTCGCCAAAAAGACAGAGACGGAGGGAATAGAAAGCAAGAAATCTCGCCCCCGGGGGGGATGGCCATGCTGCAATGCCTTCTCCTCCATTCTCCTCTTGGAATCTTGGGCATGCACACACATACACGCCCGGAGTGAGTTTAAGCCGCCAGGTCCAGGACTTGAACCGTGGTCGACTACATGGAAGTCCAGCAACATAGCTAAAAACATTTTTTTAAAGGGAGGCCAGCAGGTGGCATTGTAGTCAAGGCACTGAACTCTTACATGGCTGACTATAGTTTGAGTCCCACACTGGACTACTTGAAAATCACACCAGGTGTATGTGCAGTCCAAAATCCCAAGAGGAGAAGAGAATACAGAGTGGCTATTCACCCTGAGGGGATGATTTCTTACTTTCCCTGTCCCTATCTCTGTCCAGTGAATGCATACACCCTATGTCAAAAACTTAAAAATTAAAATAATCGCTGGACAAGAAAAGGTTATCTTAAATACGGACTTGAGACATAATTAAAGCAAAATAATGAAAAGAAAAAAAAAGTTTAAAGACTAACCCTAAGAAACTTCTTTTTCTCAAATATTAAGGATACTAGCCGAAGCTAACTTTTAAGGAAGGTGTCCTGATTTCCAAGTCTCAAGTACACACTCAACATACTCTTTTTTCTTATGTCACCCTATTATAACTATCTGCATAGGTCTTAATGTTACCCACACAAGAAATATTATGTTGGGACCAGCAGTTAGCGTAATGGCTATGTCGCGGAACTCCCACGTAGTCAACCGCGGTTCGAGTCCCGGACCCTGTGGTTTAAGCTCACGCCGGGCGCGTGTGCGTGCATGCCCAAGATCCTGAGAGGAGAATGGA